CTCCGGGGTAAAATGGGGTCTTTTGCCTCTTGCCCTAGGTTTGATCCCCAGCACCAGAAATCAAAACTACAAATAGGAAGCGGTGGGTGTTAGGCGGAAAGATGCCTCACTGTCAGTAGGCTACTGGATGGCCCAGCCTTCGGCAAGCTCTTTCTATTTATGCCCGCTGTCGGCTTTGCATGCCTTTTGTCTTGTTAACTGCCAGATTGTTTCATAGATTTAAGCACTTCAGAGGGAAACTGTGAACAAAGGTTCTTCCTCTTCCTTGTTGCAGCAGGCACCAAGCAGAATTAGTTGGTCCACCCAGGCTTCTGTCAATGGGCATGTGTGGTCTCCACCCTTTGGCTCTGGTAAACAATGCTGCTACAAGCACTGGTAAGTGGAATACTTAGACCTTGACAGTTCTAGCCCAGGTGCTAGAAGCTGGATCACTGGCCTGAGGCACCACTGACACCTGCTCAGATGTGGGGGTGGGGCCTAGCAGTAAAAAGGTCCCTGGGGATGTGCCCATGAAGGAGAGTTGGGACTCTGGCCTCTCTGTCTGCTTCCCCGGGGACATAAGCAGCTTCCTCCTCCATGCACCTTCTGTCCCCCTTATCGCAGGCCCAACAGCAATGGTGCTGGATGAGCCTGCATGAAAGCCTCTCAACCCATGAGCCAAATGGGTTTTCTTCTTTAGGTTGATGACCTCAGGTGTTTTGGTACAGTGATGGAATGCTGACAGATACAACAAAAAAATCTCTTCGGCCCCTGCTTTCATTTCTTTTGGCTACACTCCCAGAAGCAGGGGTGCTGGACTCTAGGACAGATTTTTACTGGCAGTTTGAATGAGATGACCCCCCACGGGCTCACGTATTTGAATGTTCGATTCCCAGCTGGTGAAGAAGTACCAGGAGGGGCGGCCCTGTCACTGGGGTGGGGCTTAGGTTTCAAAAGGGCCCAGTCACTGTCTGTCTGCCCCTCCCTCCCTTTGACCTGTGGATAAGATACAAGCTCTCAGCTACAGCTCCAGTGCCATGCCTGCACACTTGCTACCCTGTTCCTTGTCATGGCGTCCATGGACTAAAAGGCCCTCTGAAGCTGTAAGCAAGCCCCCAGTCACATGCTTGCTTTTATAAGTTGCCTTTGTCACGGTGTCTCTTCACAGCAACAGAACAATGACAAAGACACCAACCAAGGGTCTTCGTGATTGTCCCCATCTCATAAACTCCTGCCCCTGACTCGCCCTGGCAGCCTCCCGACTCAGTCTCTTTTCCTCTTCCATGTTTGTGTGTCTTTTTGCCACATCCCATCCTTCCTTTTTTTAAAAGATTTATTGTGCCAGCACCACCAGAAATGGATAGCAGATCTCGTTACAGATGGTTGTGAGCCACCATGCGGTTGCTGGGAATTGAACTCAGAGCCTCTGGAAGGACAGCCAATGATCTTTAACCTCTAAGCCATCTCTCCAGCCCCACAGCACCCACTGTCATCCTCTCCTTAAGACCTTCCATTGCATTTTCCACAGTGGCCACACCACCCTACATCTCCACTAGCCATGCGCAGACTCCCTGTTTCTTGCCAGCACTTGTTTAGTAGCATCTTATTATGGGCTTGATTGGCATGTCCCTCATCCAGAGTACTTTCTCACTAAGCAGATCTATCAGAATAAAGCCCTTTTCCCCCCTTGTAATGACTAATAGAATCTACTCACTGGGGGAAGGCAAAGTACAGAAAATGCCATGGAGACAGTGGAGATGGTGCATCAAGGACCCCATGTTAGGAGCCAATGGGGCAGGAGGAGTCTTTGTAGGCCTGGGCTGGGAGGATGGAAAGACATGGTTGCTATGGGTGTGTGCTCAGTGGACAGGTGCTCTTTCATGAAGCGTAGAAGTAGTGAATATGGGAAAAACAGAATACACCGATTGCTGGTGAGAAGGTGAAACTATAAGCTTCCTACATTGGTGGAGGAGGGTTCCTGCCCTGTTGGGTTTGGGAAGCAGTCAAGTCCCTGGGTACCACAGACTATGTGGACCAGACAGGAGAACCCCAGCACAACATCTGCATTTGAATTATCAGATATGGGGTGCTCTATTTCCAGAGCATTTCCAAGACGGGCCTGTGGGACATGGCATGCAGTAGAGGGCTGAGCAAGTTCTATGCCCCAGCCTCTAACACGTCCATTTGTCCATTTGTGCCTCACACAATGGCATGTAGCTGGCAGGGCTTCAAGCAAGAGAAGGCAGGCAGCCCCTGTTCTTCTTCGAGAGTGCATGGAACAGACATTAAGTTCTAGGCACTGTGGTGAACTCCAATGGGGTGTTTGGACCCTAATGTCTATGCCCAAGGAACACTGTGCACACCTCATCCAGGCACCAGCATGCCAGCCTTGGATCTGGAAACCGACTCCTGACTCAGTGGAAGAGCTCCTCACCAACCAGTGTGAAAATGGTGCTACCATGAACTCCATACCACGCCGTCAGCTCGACCATGCCTAGCTCTTGTCTATGTATGGACCAAATCTCCCTCTCTCGTTGAAAGAGATGCTCTCATCAAGTTACCATGGGGAGTAGGGAAGCACCCTGCAGTCCCTGGGATGAGGTCACAGCCCACAGGCCATGAGAGGTGGACACAGTTGACAACAAGAACCCAATCGAGGTGGTCTGTTGTCAGCCACACTGTGGGGCCTTACTTTAAGGGCTGCAGCAGTCAGAGGTCTGGAGTTAAAGAGAGGTTGAGACAGACCTTGAACCAGAGACTGGAGGAGGCCATTTCAGATGAGGGAAGCAAATGGTACCTACGAGGGAGAGCCCTACCAGCTGTGTGTCTGTGGCACAAAAGCCACAGACAGCAGGCCTCCTTCAGTCTATGGAGCACACACTCTGTTCTCCCCAGCCTAACCATAACCTCAGACATGAGCTGGGACCCATGTCCCAGCTAGGAAACTGGGAGGCACCTGACATAGAGCCTTCTACTTCCTCTACACGACTCCCTGAGGCTCCATAAGGACCAGCTAGGAGCCATTTTTTTTGTGGTCAGGAAATGTCTGTGGTAACTGTGGACGCTTCACGTCCCACCCCCAGGCCCTTCTGAAGTGGAGGTCACATTCCTAAAGATCCTCAACTGTCAGCTTCAATCTCTTGCTTCTTTTTTGGGAGGTGGATCTGGTGGGGAGTGGAGATTACCTTTCTCAAGTCCATGAGGTCCTCTCCAATCCAGGGGTGGGGGAGGAAACCCACATGGGAGAAAGAAGGCAAGCATTTCTAGTTCAGTTCAGTGCTTTTCAACCTAAGGTGTACACTAGAGGTATCCAGGGACTTTCAGAAATATGCTCAGATTAGCCTAAGGATGTAGCCCAGCTGACAGAATGACGGATTGCTGGGCAAGCACAGAGCCCTGCCTTTGTTGCCCCAGCATGACAGAAAACTGGGGGTGGTGGCTCATACCTGTGATACCGGGACTTGGGAAGCCAAGGAGTTCTAGGCCCATCTTGGCTACAGAGTGAGTTTAAAGACCAGCCTGGGCTACATACGACCCTGCCTCAGAGCCAGGTGTGGTGGCTCACGCCTGTAATCACTCTGGGAGGCAGGGGCAGTAGGATCTCTGAGTTCGAGGCCAGTCTGGTCTACAAAGTGCATTCCAGGACAGCCAAGGCTACGCAGAGAAACCCTGTCGTGAAAAACAAGACAAAGCAAAACCCAAAGAGAGATGTGCTCATACCCAGATACTCTGACAGATGCCTCCAGAGAGTCCGAAATGCCTAACACACATATGCTATTCAACTACATTAGTCACCAGGGAAATGCAAATTAAAACCACATTGTGATGATACCACTGCACACCCACTAGACCAGGAAACGTGAAGAAAAAAAAAAAAAAGAAAGAAAACTCAGAAAATACCAACCGTCGGCAAAGACGTGATGAACTCTCCCCACATGCTGCTGGGGGGACATAATTCTACCTCCAAGCATTCACCCAAGGACCACACCAGAATGTCCACCTGCTAAGACCTCCCAGCTGTAGAAGGAGCAGATAAACTGAGGGCTAGCCGCTCAGTGCCAATGTGTGCTTTGAGATTCAACTCGGCTGGGTGTGGTGGCACACACCTTTAATCCCTGCCCTCGGGAGGTGGGGTCAGGTACATCTTTGTGAGTTCCTATCCAGTCTGGTCTACAGAGTGAGCTCCAGGCTAGGAAGGACTGCACAGTGAGACCTGTCCAAAATTAAAAAATAAAATAAAATTTTTTTTCTTGAATAAACCACAATTTTAGGCAACAATTTGGATGAGTCATCACACAAACTTGTCACTGAGTAGAAGGAGCCAGAGACAAACGGATGGGTCACTGCTTGAGTCACTTATCTCTTTTGTTCTCTTGGGGCAGGCCTAATGTAGCCCAGACTGACCCCAGGCTCACTATGCAGTGGCTACTTTTTCCTGTTAGAAACCATCCTGACAAAAGCCGCCAAGAGGTGAAGGGCTTAGTTTGAATCCCGGTTCTAGGGTAAGTTCCTCCATCGTGGTGGGAAAGCCCTGGCTTCGGGAGGGGAAAGCACCGTGGCGGGTGCAAGAGGCCAGTGGTCACACTGCATCTGCAGTCAGAACGCTGCAGGCCCCAATGGCCTCCTCCTTTCCTGCGGTCTCCTTTACCACGGGTCTTCCCACCTCAGGGACCGGAACCAAGGTAATTCCTCACGGGGCGGGCCCAGAGGCATCCCGGGAGGCTTAAATCCTAGGCGGTTCCAGGTCCAGCTGAAAATTAACACTAGCAGCACAGCAACCTTGCACTCCTGTCTTCCTGCTGCTACCGGAGAGCTGGGGTTCCCAGGTGGGGGTGGGGTGGGGTGCGGTATCCAGCTGTGACTATTAACATGGCCACTGGATCCAGCTGTGGCTCCAGGATCATGCCCAATGTTTCCATGCAGGTAAGACCGGTGGGTGGCAAGTGCCAGGCATACTGGTGACCATGGCAGTGCTGGTTAACGGTTACCTAGGCGAAGTTCACCTGAGGAAACACGACTGATTTACATTTATGCTTTGTGTTTTTATTTATTTTTGTTCTTGTCATCCTTTAGTGTAAAATTTTTATTTATTTATTTTAGTTCTCATCTTTGGGATCTTTGGGGTCAGGGCAAGATCCAGGCAACAAGAGTTTCAGGTGCACTGGAAAAGCAGATCCAACTGAGAGGCCTCAGGTTGGAGCTGGAGAGATAGATGGCTCAGCGGCTAAGCGCTCCTCCTGCTCTTGCAGAGGAACCAGGTTTGACTGCTTGCAATTCCAGCTCCAGGGACCTCAGGTTCTCTCTTAGATTCCATGAGCCCCTGCACACACCAACACAAACATACACATCAATAACAGAAATTCTTTTGTTTCACACTTAGTTTTGCAAGGGGGGTGCACACAGTATGGCCCATGTGTGGAACTCACAGGATATAATCTGAGGGAATGGTTTTCTTCCACCGGGTAGGCCCCAGGGCCTGAACTCCAGTGGTCTGGCTTGGTGGCACACCTTCATCCGCTGAACCAACCGCTGTCCCACTGGCACTGACAGATATGAATCTTTTTCAAGACCTCAAGTGGTCCTGGCGAAAGCCCCTTCCAGCAGACTGTAGTAGATCAGTGAGGTAAAGATGCCATCTTTGCCCATGTAAGGTCCCCCAAACAGGCGGAAGAGGCGTCACGGCAGGCTGTTGCAATGTGTTTCTTCCGAGGCAGGTCTGTTGAAAGCAGTTGCATCAGGTGAAATGGTGTGTAATGGGAACACGGTAGGCCCCACCCACTCCCTGCCCAGGGACATGGGATCACTCAGTCACTCCTAGCTAGACTTCCCTAGGGCAGACTTGCTGCTGAGGCTCTGACTACCTTAGCCCAGGAGGGAGGAAGGCCGACTCAGGGTGTCTGTCTTTATGGGGAACGGTCAGCTCTGACCAGACCACGCCTCTTGGCCTCTGTGTCCAGATTAGGAACTTGCAACATCTTGCCAACGACCACACTGGGCTCAGCTGGAAAGAGTACAGCCGAGAACTTCCTGAACATTCCATGAGGTTGGTGGCCGTCTCCCTAGGGGTGGCTGACTTCCAGTATATTCTGGTCAAACTGCAGGCAGCTTAGGCAGGATGAGATAGGACACAGGCTCGAACACAGGTATCCTGCCTAGCTGAGCCCTATCTGTCCCTCCAGAAACATGGACCACAAACCTTCTGCTGTGGGTGGGGGCTAGGTAGACCAGCTGTGCTAGGGTGCCAAGCCTTGGGGTCTCTGCTTTCCCCAGTAGGAGAGTAGCTGGCTAGTAGCTGAACTAGTAGCTGGCTCTTGGAGTGGTATCGCTGATCTGCCTTGCAGGGTGGAGTTCACAGAGTGAAGTGGGAGGGGCCTGAGGCTTCCCTGCTTCTGCTAGACAGGGTTGCTGGGGGTTGGGGGGGGGAGTCCTCAGATGGATGCACTTGACCAGAGGACTCGGAGTGGCGTGGGACGCAAACGGATAATCTGATAGAAGCTATGTCACTCAAGGGTTTAAATGACCCTCCCTGGAGTGAAAGAAATGTGGCTAGATCAGAAGCCGTGAGCTGGGCCTCTCCATTAGGCCACTCCATCCCACTTCCCTGGTTCTGGTCCCTTCCCCTGGAGATGGGACTGATGGTTCAGATCTTTTCCTCTGCTCAGTCGGGCTGAAGGTCCACAGCTCTGTGGGGGTGGTCCAGAAGAAGGCCTAAGCCCTAAGGCTCTGCCTCTGAGGCCCCTGGCTGGACCCTCCATCATTCATGTGCTACCTCCTCTCCAGTCTGTAAAAATACAATGGCAACTCTAGCCTGCCAGTGTGGAACTATCCATCCCTGTTGCTCTCAATCTCCCCTTCCTTGTGGTTCTGAGCAATTTTATTACAAACGTGGGTGCTCATATGCACAGACTTATGTAAACTAATTTAACAATATAATTACCAATTACTTCATTTTTGGCTTGACCATCTAGTAAATCTTTTTTTTTCTCTCCTCCCTTCAAGATAGGATTTCTCTGTGTAGCCTTAGCTATCCTGGAACTTTCTCTGTAGATCAGGCTGGCATTGAACTTACAGAGATCCGCCTGCCTCTGCCTCTCACCAAGTGCTGGGATCAAAGGTATGTGCCACCATCACCCAGCTCATTGATGGTTTCTAATGGTCTTTTAAAATATTTGAATTACACTTATTATTCATGTGTGTGTGTGTGTGCGCGCACATGCACACTTGGATGGAAGCCAAAGGACAACTATTGGGGGTTGGTTTTCTCCTCCTGTCATGTGGATCCCAGGCATGCGGCTCCGGCCATGAGTCTTGGCAGCCAGTGCCTTCGGCTGGGCCATCTCAGTAGCCTGGACTTCCAGACTTGGCACCCGTCTCTTCTCTCCAGGTGAGGAGAAGAGCATCTTCAACTGGCCGAAGAGCATCTTCAGCCTCTTTCTGCCGGCAGGTGGCACAGCTTACCCCGCAGGGCTTCTGGTTTTGTCATTTGGGGATTACGCCCACTTCTGCAGCAGCTACCACCGAAGGCGGACTTCAGTAGACTTCGAAAAACTTATTTCATTTGAGGCTCTATGCCTTATGCCTTGTGAAATATAACCAGGCCTGGAGACACACACTTTTAACAATAATAGGCTGCAATGCCCATAGCAACAGCGGTCAGTCTGACTGCTACCACAGCACCGGTCATGGCTCAGCTCCATTTTGTTCTCATCCCACTCCAGAGCCCATAGCACACACTGTACCGGAAAGCAACATGGACATAGCCCAGCACTGGGCCTTCCTGTGTCCTCTCTAAGAAGCATTTGTGAGGGCTGGGGGGAAGGGGGCACTCCTGGGATAGCTCCTGTTACCAAGCCCCATGACCTGAGTTTGATTCCAGGGACCTACAATGGTAGAAGGAGAGCTCACTCCCACAGGTTGTCCTCTGAGCCCCAAAGGCACTGCATGGTGAGGGAGCACCCCCCCTAAACTAAACAAACAGTGCAATAAAAAAAATTAAAAAGCACCATTTATGATGTTTCCTTTCTGTGCTTTATGAACGGAATAGCTAGAAGTTGTTCTTGATTATCTTTATTTTTTTTTCTCTAGAGATATGTGTCATTCAAAGGGTTATACAAATTAATGTAAATAATAAGGGCAGAGTGGAGACTGTGATAAGGTGGGAGAGAACCCACAGAGTGCCCATGCAGAGAAACGGCAGAGTCTGGACTCAGAGGTGAGAAGAGGGAGCTTGGTTGTCCCTCCAGGGTCAGCTGTGAAAGTGGGCAAGGGCCATGCCTCCCTGGCCTGTAGGATGTCCTCATCCCCGAGGCAGAACGCACACGACAGACAAGCCCAGGACCCTCGACAGAGCTGTGTGAGCCAGCATCCCACAGGCTGGCTGGCTGGCTCCACCAAGGGACTCCTCACAGGAGGCCTGGGGGAATACCACGGGACATCGTCTGGATGTCCCCCAGACACCCAACTTCACCTTGCAAACCTAGCAAGGATTTGTTCTCTCCAGGAAGTTCCACATCTCCTCAGCCCCCACTGTTGGTGTTTTCCAACTTGCCACATAAATTCTGAAAGTCACTGTCCAGTCTCTGAAAGTCACTGTCCAGTCTCTCTCCCGGCTGCTCTTCATTTACCTGCTTTGTTTTTCTTCTCCGAACTCTCTAGATACATGTCACTACCCGGGTCCCCTCCATGGTCTATAGTACAGTTAAAGGCTGTTGTGCATCCTCGGTATGTTATAAAGCTCAGAGCTAGGGCTCCTAGGAGGATCTCGCAAGGCTCGGCCAGAGAACTGTTTATTCTTATGTGAGATACAAATCAGAAAATGGTTTTGTGAAGGTCAGAGTCTCAGCAGGAAGCAGAGACACCCCTTCCCTCCACCCGGAGGGAGGGACGGACGGAAGGGTTTAAGGAAGAGCCTGTCTATAAAGAGGGTAGGGTAGGCAGGGAGAGAAATCTGTGGAGAAGGTGACACTGTGGGGAGCTGTGGACCTGCACCCCTCCCTCTACACCCCAACCTGAGAGCTGCTGGAGGAAACTGGCACTGCCCAGTAAGAAAGAGAGAGGGGGGGAGAACGCACCCCAATATCGCTCTACACTTCTCCCTGCCTAGCTGGGGTCTTCAGTTAGCAAACACATCCGGAAACACGTAGACACAGAGGAAAGTTGATTGGTCTCTCTCCCCCTAGCCCAATCCTGGGCAGTGTGGAAAAGGGCAGAGGGCCTACAGGAGCAGGCTGGTGGGTAGTAACCAAGGACTCCCAGCACTGGCAGCCAGCCTAGTCACCTCAGTAACGTAAGCTGTGACTGGCCGTCTCAGCTCCTCTCTTCCCTTCAGCATTCAGCATCTTCCCCACAGGTATACAGGACATGAAGCCAGGGACGGAAAGCCACAGTAAACAAGAATTCAGCGTAGAGCCAGGCACAGTGGCGTACACCTTTAATCCCGGTACTCAGGGAGGCAGAGGCAGGTGGATCTCTGTGAGTTTGAGGCCAGCCTGGTTTACAAAGTGAGTCTAGGACAGCCAAGGCTACACAGAGAAACCCTGTCTCGAGAGGTGTCGGGGGGAGGAATTCAGCACAGGACCAGCAATATGGTTGTGTGTGTAAATTGCTTGTTACCCAAGACTGGAGAAGCCAAGTTTAATCCCTGGAATTTACATAAATGTGGAAGGGGAAAACCAACTCCACAGTTGTCCTTTGGCTTCTTCACACATGCTATGGCATGAGTGCCAGAGATACTCAGCATATACTCATACACAACAACAACAACAAAATAACAACAACAATAATAAAGGAGTCTAGCACAGGGATGGTGTCCCCATCATGGACAGACAGACATCTCTGCCTAGCTTAGTAACTGACAGGTAAACATGCATGTTTATGAAAGTCACTGAATTACTAACAAAAGGCTCAACACGGCCTCTATACCAAAGGGAAGGGAGTGTGGCATACACTTTAAATGTATCCTTATAAGCAGAAGTAGCAGAGCTTCCAGTTAAACACACATAGCAGAGTATTCACACAGCTGAACCCCTTCCTCTCTGGAAGGGCCACCAACATGCCAGTCAAGAAACCAAACAGTATCCACCCCTCAAAAGCAGAGGTGAAAGAAACAGGGATGGTTGAGTAATTACTTCCACGAATCCTAGGAGGAGAAAGAATAGGGAATGATGGCTGCCAAGGGGGAAGCAGAGGAGGGACACTCTGAGTAGGTGGACCGGGAAGACTAGACATTGTGGATGGTGGGAGCACGCTGGAAACTCCTACACAGCAGGAGAGAGAAAGGGTGCAGGAAGGGCAGGGAACGCAGGGATGGAGGGCTCAGACCGGACACACAATAGCAAGACTTGACTCCCGGGCTGGGGAGCTGGGTCAGTAGCCAAAGCCCTTGCCATGCAAATGTGAGGACTCGAGTCTGGCTCGCTAAAAGTTCACATGTATGAGCTCTGGGCTTGACAGAGAGACCCTGGCTCAGGGATGACTGTGGAAGAGTGATTGAGGATGAGTCTTAGTATCAGCCTCAGACTTCCACATGCCATGCATGTGCGCATACACTCACACACACGCACACGCATGAAGTGGGGGGTGGGGGAGACACTTAACTCGCTACCTACCACCTGACCTGAACTGTGCAGTGAATCTAAAACGTGGCTGATGCTTCTCCCACTGAGAGTTGAGTCTGTGCCTTCCTACCTGAATCCACGTAGATCTGTGACTAAGCAGCAGAAGCGAGGCTTATGTGACTTCCAAGGTTAGGCATATGGTTCCGTGTTGCTGGGCGGAACACTCACACTGGAGCTGCCAGGCAAGAGTGGGAGCCGCCGGTCCACTGTGCCAGGCAGGCCTGTCGTGTGCTGTCTCTGGTCAGCAGGCACACCATCCCTGCCGCACGGAAGGCCTCCTGAGAGCGGATTCCTTGTCCCCGAGATGTTCCAACTCCCAGTCGGGATGCCAGGCACCCTTAATCATTCGCTCACCCCAGCCTGGGCCCAGACACTGTGGAACAGGGAAAGCTGTACCTTTTCTGAACCCCTGACCTATAGCACAATCAGCTGGTGGCTATTCTGAGTGTGGGCGGGTTTGTCATGGAGCATCAGGGGACGAGAATGGTGAGAGTGCATACAGAATGACTTCTCAGGATTCCTGCTTTTCCTGCTCTGGATGTGGACAAAATGGTGCTGAAGATGGGCAAGGAGCCAGTCCCTGGAGCCACGTGGCCTCTCTGCTGGGCCAGAGCTGGGCTGTTGCAGAAGGCACACACTTATCACCTGAAGCTTAGACAGATGGGCCTTGGGTCAACAGATCTTCTGCCAGGAGCTGATGGTGGGGTTGTGGAGAGGAGCTGGCTAGCTGGGGCCCCGAAGCAGGTCCTGAGGGGTGTGTCTTTCCCTCACTGCTGGCCTTCCAGCAATTCTCTTCCCTGCCTGGAGCTCAGAGTCTGGAGCTCCGTCCAAGTCAAATGCACTACAGATTAAAAAAAAAAAAAGGTTTTAACATTTTATTTAATGTTGTGTATCTGTGTGTGAAGGGGGGAGAACAGTTTTGTACAGTTGGCTTTCTCCTTCCACCTTTGTGTAGGTGTAGGGGATTGAACTCAGGTTTCTAGGCTTGCATTACCCACTGAGCCATCTCGCCACCCCTGCCCCCTCTCCTCAACTCTTCAATGGCTGCACTAAAAAATATATATACACATTAAAATAACACGCACATAAAAAAAAAAAGTATGCCATCATCGTAGAAGTATGCCTTGTAGAAAACAAGGAAATAGTGAAATGACTCACTATTAGCTTTCCCTCCAAAACAAAACAGAACATCAAGGCTTCTGCAGAGCCCTCCAGGTCCATGTGTTCCGGACACACATGGCTGAGTACTCAGCACATGATACCTGCCAAAGCCTTGGAGGTATCACTTTCTCCAGGTGTGGGAGACAGGCCGAGGCTAAGAGACTGGTCATTTTCAACTCTCAAGAATGCAAAGCTCCTGCCTATATGATGAAGGTCTATTTTTTTTTTCTTTGTTCAAAGCCAATATATCCAAACACGTTGCCAGGTACAGTGGTACACACCCGTTATCCCAGCACTTGAGGGCGGAGACGGGCAGCTCAAGCTTTCCAGGTCAGACTGTACAAAGAGCCCAAAGCCAGCCTGGGCTACATAATGTCCTATCTCAGAAACAAACAGCTGGAAAATCATAGCATCCGGAGGCAGATGCAGGTGGATCTCTAGACTGGCAAGTTCCAGGCCAGCCAGGGCAACACGCTGTCTCGAAACACGAACAACAGAGCTGGGTGGCAGAGGCAGGTGGATCTTTGAGTTAGAGGCTAGCCTGGTTTACACAGAGAGCTCCTGAATGGCCAGGGCTACACAGAGAAATCCTAAGAAAAAAAAGGGAAAAACCCTACAAATAACATATATTTCTCAATAAATATGTGTGTATATCACTCTGACGTCTGACGCACCCTTGGATAGATGGGGAAATGGTGAACAACTTCTTTTCTTTTTTAATCTTATTTAGTGTGTAGTTGAGTGCGAGAATACACATGTGCCACCTGAGTGTGCGGAAGTCAGAAGGCCGTGTGTGGGAGCTAGGATCACACTCAGGCTTGGTGGCAAGCACGCTCTAAACTAGGCAGTCCAACTGGCTCCTGAATCATTTCTTTTGGATGTTTCCCGAGGCTACCCGAAGTTTCCCTTACAAACAGTGCACTTCTAGATACCTTTGTGCATTCCCCTTGGCCTAGACGTGGTTCTTCCTCAGTTCTATAGAGCAGATTGCTTGGTCCGAGGCTACACATGGTTTTAAAAACTGCCTTTCTCCAGTCACATCAGCAGCCCCCCCATGTCAGCATTACCCTGGGTCAGCAGCACCCCACAACATCAGTCAACATCATCACTCCCTTACCCACGCCAGCAGCACCCCCATCCAGCAATACATTTTGGTATAGGCACGCTGACTTACTTCAAGTAGCCAGTGAACATTTTTATTTTTTGTCATTTAGACTGAGATTGGGCAGGACACCAGAGGAACCATATGCGGGGTGGGGGTGGGGGTGGTGGTGTTTGAGGCGGGCATTTTAGTAAATTCTTGGTCTAGAACTAACTAAACTGTTCAAGGCCTTCCCTGACTTCGGAGCCCCATGTAGGAGCTCTGGAGAGAGCTGGAAGGGTTTGGCCTTTGGGTGGCCGAGCAGAGAGCAGGAAGGCCATCCTGTGGGCCCACAGCCAGGCATATTTCCCCTGGAAGCACTGCTGTGTTTTGAACGGGGTCTGCCCGCTCTGAAATCACTGGCTCTGTGGAACGCTGGAGGTGACTGGGTCACTGGAAGGGAAGGGCCGCCCTCAGTGAGCCCTGCCCTACTGGCTGCCACCGCCTTCATGCTACACTGCATGAGACCCATGAGACGGGGCTATCTGATCTTGGCCTTCCCGACTCTGGGGAAAAAATGAGTCTAAATGAAATGTTCTCCTTTACGGATTATGCGGTCTCAGGTGCTCCGCTGTGGCAACAGAAAACAGACTACTCTTCTAGCTCTAAAGACCTCACACCACCCCTAGCATTATTGAACTGTCCCCTAGTCCCAGGGTTCACGCTCTGTCCATGAAATCAGCACCAGTCCCCTGGGATTTCCTGGGCTACTTTCCATGACCTTTAAGACGGGAAATCCCAAGCTAGCCACAGTTTATTGCTCCCCTACCTCCTAGTTGCTTTCCTCTGCATCGCTGCACGCTCCGCACCTGGAAGAAGAGAGGAAAGCGAATAGGGGGAATTGGGGGGGTGGAAGGTGAAAGACGCAGGTGCATCTGTAACCAGCTCTCCAAGAGCCACCGAGACGTGGGCCAGCTGCACGTAAGCGGAGACAGACCCAGAGGCATGGCTTCCTCCCAAGGCCCTTTCTGCTGAGATCTTCTTGCTCAGCCTTCAATATTATAAACTGAGAGAAACCCCAGCACTCTTCCATCCCATCTCAAGGCTTCAACAACGAAGCCACTCATCAGCTATTGAACACCCTATAGCCATATCACCCTGAGTGTGCCTGACCACATCAGCTATTTACTGAACACCTACTATATACATGCTAGGCATGGTTCTAGGGCTTTGGGTATATACAGCAGTGGACAGAAGGACTTGCACGTAGGGAGTCTGTGTTGTTCTTGGAAATACTAAAAACTGAATGAATAAATAAATAAATAAATAAATAAATAAATAAATAAATAAATAGATAGATAGATAGTAGTCACAGGCAGTAAAGTGCTATGAAGGAAAAAAAAAAGAAAGAGAAATCAGTAAAAGGGAACGTTGAGAAGAAGTTTCAAAATTCTGAATAGTGGGGGTGGGGATGCAGCACAGTTGGTGGAGGCTTGCCTGGCATGTAGGAAGCCCTGGGCTGGATCTCCAGCACCATGTAAAACTAGGCGTGGTGGCATGTGCCTGTGATCATTACACTTGGGAGGCAGAGGCAGGAGAACTGGAAGTTCAAAGTTATACTTGGCTAAACAGTTAAGTTCAAGGGCAGGCTAGGATACAAGAGACCTGGAAGGAAGGAAGGAAGGAAGGAAGGAAGGAAGGAAGGAAGGAAGGAGGGAGGGAGGGAGGGAGGGAGGGAGGGAGGGAGGGAGGGAGGTCTGCGCACATGCAGGAATTCATAGTCTCGGGATGGCTAGGGACCACCAGGTATCCAAGAAAGTACACTGTGAAAAAAGAACTAAAGAAGTGAGAATATGAACCCAGAGGCTTGATGGGAAGTCGGGTTCCCAGGGGCAGGAACAACAAAGGCAAGAGTCTGGAAGTGACAGCTTGCCTGGGATGGTAATGACCAGTGAGGACAGTCATGAGACCAGAGTAGTAAGAAACAGGAAGAAAGGGAGGATGGAGAAGTAGGGAGAAGGTCCCGAGACTACAGGGCCCTAGAGGAAAGCTGGCATACAAACTTGGGCTTTGCCCCAGGACTGGAGCTGAGAAGGGGCTTTACAGCTCCTCCTAGAAGCACTGCTCAGAATAAACTCAGCGAGGGGAGAACCATTCAGCAAGAGGGCCAGCCACTGCAGACACCCCAGGGAAGGCGCTGGCTTGGACAAAGGAGTAGCATGTTGGTGCCGGGATGTGGTCAAGCTCTAAATTGTGGCACTTATGGGATTTGCTTACGGATTACAATTGAGTATTTAAAAAACAAACAAACAAACAAACAAACAAAAAACATGAAGGAGGACCCAGAAATGGAGGTTTTCCTGGTTTGATTTCTGGTGCTATGATAAAACACGGCGAGCAAAAGCACCTTGAGGAGGAATGGGTACAGTTCATCTTACACCTCCAGACCATAATCCATCATTACAGGAGATGACAGCAGGGACTTGGAGCAGAAATCAGGGAGGGAGTGCTGCTTACTGGCTCCCTCAAGTTCTGCTAACTTTTTCATACAGCCCATCTGCTAAGGGTCCATCTGCTAAGGGATGGTGGTCACCCACAATGCCCTGGGCCCTCCTACGTTAACCAACACCATTTCTCACGGACATGGCCACAGGACAAGATGACTTCTTCAACCGGGCTTCCCTCTTCCTAGATGACTCCAGGTTGTTTCACGTTGACAATAAAAACTACCCAGAGCAGGGTCTGAGCCTGTGAAGTATACTTGAAGAGCGCAGGCTTGGTAGGGAGAGATATTAAACAGGGATATCTTTCAGGCATGCATGCAGACATACATGCAGGCAAAACACCCCGGACACACTAAATAAACAATGAAGAAAGAAAATTTAGTTAAAAACCAAAAAGAGAAAAAGAAACCCCAAACATTGTTTTGTGACTTGAATTCTTACTAAATCCGTTATGAAATGCTCGCGTCACTTAAGTTTCCTCTTTGGGATAATTTTTGCTTCTCAGCCCTTTACATGTGTCTAGTCCCCAAACACTGGCCATTTACCTTGTTTCTATCGAGTGCCACCAATCTGGTGTCTTATTTCTCCTCAGAAGTGGGTGGAGGCTCCAAATCTCAGACTGTTCCCTTCAGCTATTAAGACAAGTGTCCCGGCCTGGTGTCATGGTCTCACGGCAGCAAGTAAGGTGAGGGAGGGGGTGATGAAGATCCAGACACCAAGGAGTGGCTACGAGGCCAATTGCAACAGGCCCTAGTCTTTCTTCTCCCTTAAGGACTTGTGCTTCAGGAAAACAACAGGCTCCTCCCATTGGCACCATGAAATCCACCGGGGATTCCCCACCTCAGCCAGCATGTATTGTCCTTCTCTGACCCCAGGAAAAAAAGCCCACTCCAGTCCCTTGGGGAAATCCCCATGGGAAAGCTCCTCCCTCTGCCCTTGAGGTAGGGGGAAAAGTCCTGGCTCTGGGTCAGGGCTGCAGGGACACTCCCAGATTTGCTCCCCATCCCTCACGGGGCGGCTAAGGACAGTCTGTGCCCTCTGAGCCAGTGCCTAGAGAGCAAGAGTGCAAGAGAGCTCCAACTCTGAAGGCCACTACACCTGGAAGTACATTCAGACGCTGACACATTCCAGGCCCAGAAAGTCACCACCTGAGGAAGGCATGTAGCTGGAGGGGTGGGACTCTGTCACTGTCTCTACAGTTAGTAACGCTTAACTCAGCACATGCCGCCTCAGAGGCCTTAGCCAGCTCATCTGGGCAGGATAACATCAACCTCACAGGCTTGTCAGGAGGGCTAAACAACATTTGGGAAAATCCAGTGTCAGGCATTCAACAAACCCAAAGGCTGGAGATGGGGATTGCTCCCATCATGTCCCCCGACACACACAGGAAGCTCTGCAGTTTCTTCTAGTAGGCACAATTACTTGTCCTCTACCCATTCACTTTGACACCCACCCTCCTGACGTAAAAGGCGCCATTGTTCACGTGCTGGTCCCAAATCCCCGTCTCCATCCTCATCCCCAGGACACTCTAAGGACAAGAAGTGCCATCTTGAAGAGAACAGGAGCAGTCATCCTCCCCTCTCTACCGACAAGGAAACAAGCTTACGAAGTTAGGTACCCTGCCCAAGTCACAGCAGGAAGAGGCCGGGCGAGATGGGAGCTGGGTTCTGATCCCTGGGGACTCACTTTGTCGTGGGCAGTGGGTCTGAGGAAGGAGTGGGGATGGAAAGGGAGCAGCCAATTTACAGAAGCGTTAAGAGAGAGAAGGCATGTCCCTAGGAGGGGCACCACAGCACCATGGCCTTTTCCCTGCCACACTCGCCTGAGTGGGCCACCTTCCAATGAATCCTCCTTCAGAGCCAATGAAAAGGGGGTGGGCGGGAGTGTCCTAGGCCTCCTCTATCAGTACAGTCCTGCCAACAAGGGACTTGAGGATCCACAGCCCAGGGCTGCCAGGCACCTGCCTTAGAGCTGGCTGACCTTGCTGTGAGGCAAAAAGACCGCCGCCAGACCATATACATCTAGACTTACTAATTTCTGGGAGCCTAGGACCCCAGGGTGCCTGGTGTAGTGAAGGCTAGACCAGGGATAAGAGGGCAGGACCAGAGTTTGGATGACCTAGACCGGCCTCCCTTTCCCCTACTGAGCAGAGTATCTGCGGAGAAGCAGGCCTGTGGCTGATTCATCTGCATGGCCCCACCACACCCGAGAGGTTACTCTGCAGAGAGCTGATAACTAGTAAGCATAATTGATTGGCATTGCCAGTATCCAGGATGACAGTTGGCATCTGCCTTGCATGCCTGAGCCATCATGGCAAGGGCCTGTCCTCTTGATTCAGTGTGTCCTGACCAAGATGGCTCTGGTCCGGGCAGCAACCCTTCCTCTCTAGCATCTGTAGAGTGTGTCTCCCTCCCCAGATCCAGAGGACATGGCTAACTTTCACCTCCTTAGTCAAAGGGAGAACTTTTGGAGGAAATTATGTGGTTCTAGGTGCTTCCCTAGTGATGGCAACGGGCTGGTATATGGCAGACTGTCTTTGCCCGCTGGCATCAGGAGCTCCCAAGGCCACAATAAAGAAAGTCACGGATTCATTACCTCCTTGCACAGACTAAAACAGTGGCTCCCCCCTCCCCCGAGTTCTACCTGTCATCCTCACCATGCCAGGGACTGCATGACTGCCATAATCACACCTCACCTCATGGTGCATATTTATGCCTGTCAGCTCAGCTATCTGGGGTGGCAAGTTCAAGGTCTGCATGGGCTACAGAGTGAGTCCAAAGCCAGCCTGGGCAAGTTAAGTGAGACCCTGCCTAGAAGTAACACCCCGCCCCCGACATACACAGAGTCCAGAGAACCTACCAGTAAGAACAAAACTGTTAGCATTAAACATCACGGTGAGGTGAGGGGAAGACCTAAAAGCTGGGGAGCCCCTGAAGCCTGAGCCTCGCCACGTGTGGCATGGATGGGAGCAGAGTCTCACTCAGCTAAGCAGGCATGTGCAGGTGTCTGTCTTGGATCGGATGTGGGATCAGTGCTGGGAATGCTGGGAAGCTCAGGGGGTGGGGTGGGAGGAAACCCTTACTGAGGGGCTTCAGTGCAAGTGCACGGTGGGTTGTCTTCCCTCCTCTCCCACCCACCTCGGAACCTCCCCGTAGTCAGGCCCTGCTCCTCTGTGCTGGGGCCTGCCTGCGCAGAGAACAGCGCTGACTTGTCCAGCTGGCTGGGCCCAAGGGAAATTCTACCCTCCTTGAGTCACCGCACAGCAGGAGCTCCACACGAGCGCTGGGCTACAAACGATCACTGTGCTTGCTTCCTGGACGCGCTGCGCCAGATTCCAAAATCCCCTGTGATGTGTGGGATGAAAT